GGGGGATGAAGATGTTAAGGGGGGGCTCCGAAATATTTTCTGGCATTAAAGGGGGGGCTCTGAAAGTTCTTGATATACTGAAGGGGGGGGGGGGCTCTAAACTTTTCAAAGGTTTGACCCCAGGAAATTAAAGTTAAAATATTTACATTTTCAGGTAAATTTGCGTAATAAAGTAATTATTTTTGTAAAATGATAACCATTTTTTTTTTTAAAATACAGTCAATTTACATGCAATTTGTTTGCGAAATTTGCTTTAGAAAACGCCAGAAATTCAGTCCTAGAGCTTCAAAAATGTAAAAATTTTCTGGGGGAGGACCCCCAGACAGACCCCCTTTTCTCCCAAAACTTAGTATGAGAGTGCCAATCAATCACAAAAAGCTTTATTATAATTATTACACGTATAATCCTCTGACACCCCCCCCCAAAAAAAAACGTCAGATGCTTTGCTACGTCCCTGATGGTTGTATTCGAAACCAATTTCAGTTTTAAGATATCCTTAGTCTGCTCTTCTAAATGGATACACGAAATCACCTATAGCTTATTTAAATGTTTTGGCGCCAGGTTTGTGAAGTAATTTACGCGCCAAAAAGTACGTAGCAGTTCCAAAAACAAAAAAGCATACACGATTTGCAAGAATGATATGTTCTATGTTTATGGGATATTTCGTACAAACGGGATGGAAATTAAAGAAATTGAAGCATACTGGCACTTTTGCAGGCATACAAAGACATTTGCAACAGATGCCAGGAGATACGTTGGGTGGGGGCGACATACTGTCCATTACAGCACATTACCCTGATCCAGGAAATCCTGGCCACTACCTGAACGTGTTCAAGACAACGAATACGCTGAATGATGGACAACAACAACCTGTTGATAATTTCACCCCTAGAGCCAATTTAAAATGTTTTAAAGACGGTGCCATTTCATCTGGCGCTAGTGAGGTGAAAGAAGCAGCAGATCGGTAGTTTTATTGAGGAGAAGCACATGCTCGAGTATATCAGACATCTTGAGGAACTGCAAATTGTATCTATGATAAGAGAGAATTCCGGATTGTACTCCTTCGATTCCGAATTCTAGAGGGGGCGGGGGGCATTGAAAATTTTAAAAACTTGGAGGGGGGGCATTGAAATTTACCGATAACCTCAACAGGGGCCCTGTAAAAATATGAGCTTTTTTCAAGACATCTTCATCCCCCTCCCTCGGTGTAATAAATGTACTTTCCCTAACACAATTGACTACAGAGCCCGTTGATCAATAAAAGTTGGGGTGTTTTTAAATAAAAAATAAAAAAAATTCCTGAGCGGGGCCTTTTTTTGTGGGCGGGCGAGGAGGCTAACCAACTATTTTTTTTTAATATGTGGCCTTATAGACTTTTGGAAAGTGATTTAAGAGGCGATATTGAAGAATTTGTAGCCGTTTAATTGCGAGGAGACCACCGGGTAATTAATTGCATGTGACTTTCCGTTTATCTGCATTATTTTTGTATTTTGCATTTCGAAACTATTAAATGTCTGACATTCGTCGTTGTTTCTGAAATGGCGGTTGAAAACAAAGAAAGCGGCTAACAAAACAATAACTACCCATGGGAAACAACATCTTGGGGCTGTTTTTGGTTCCAAAACTTTCACTGACCAATGACATTATGAACATGGCTCGTATTGCTTCTTCCCAACCACACGCAGCATACATACACGGCTAATCCAACCGCTGGTCTTATCTCTTAAGAACAGTTCAAGATATTGAAGACCTAATACAACCACTTGAAGTTGCAATACACATGCATCTCATCCCAGCACTAACCGGACGACCGCCGTACAACCAGCTGACACCTGAAATGGAGCGTTGTGTGGAACTTTCTCGAGAGAAGGGGTCTTCGTCATGGTGATCTGTTCTCCCGCTTGAGGAAAACGGGTTCTACTTACACAAGGGAGAATTCAGAGACGCACTGTGTCTACGGTATGGATGGAAACTGAACAAGACGTTTCAAACATGCAACTGTGGTGCTCAATCCACAGTAAATCACGCCATCTGCCACATGGGAGATTTTCCAACCATCCGCCACGAGATTCGTGATTTAATAGCGTCACTCCTCACTGAAGTGTGTGGCAATGTCGACACAAAGCTAGCACTTCAACCGCTTAGTGGAGAGAGCATGGCAGCTCGTACAGCCAACACTGATGACGGTGCCCGAGTTGATATTCTGGCAAGAGGCTTTTGGAATGGTCAGCAAGATGCATTTTTTTTATGTAAGGGTGTTCTACCCCAACGCGTCCTCCTACCGCTCGCTGAATCTCGCGTCTGTTTACAGAACGCACGAACAGGTCAAGAAACTCTCGTATGGAGAGAGAATTCGGAATGTCGAACGTGGTGTTTTCACGCCTTTAGTCCTATCAACGACCGGCGGCATGGGAAGAGAGACTGGAACGTTTTACAAATGTCTTGCGGATATGATAGCCAATAAGAGAGGAGACAACAAAAATATTTTGCGATCATAGGTTGGCTACGATGTAGAATGTCGTTTGCATCATTGCGATCATCAATAATGTGCATTCGTGGAAGTAGATCCTCGATACATAGGCCCATATTCGGGGATACCAACATCTCCCTGGCAACTTCCGAAGCACGGATCCCCGGCCTCGTGAATAACTCGATTGAGGACATACGTACTGCATGACATTGTCATTAATCAATCAGTATTAAAACAATTAATAAATACATTTATAAAAAAATTAATGTATAATGACGCATGTTTGAAATGTAATGCATTTTAATAGTGTTTTTTCTTCTTTGGAATGAGTTAAAAAGTAGGCAGGCCATGACAAGAGACAGATGTTAAACGTCCACAGACGCGAACTATTAATTAAAACACCATAGAACACTAAATCAGGATCGCCGCAAAAACTCCGATAATCGTTATGTTTTTTTTTTTAAAAAGCGAATACAACGCATCATAATAAATAGAGTATAGTGTATTAAGGTCCATCTTGTGATCGCGTTCATTTGAGATGCGTGCTGTTGGCCACATAAGTTGTTCCGTTCAAAACCTCGCGACACATTTTGCACTGAATAAAACAAGATGGCGGTTCTGACATGCGGCATTTTCGTTTCTCTATTTCATATACCTAATCGGCTAAAGCATGCTTGTGCCTGCTCGTTGCTACCCAATTCCCATTTATTACTGTTATTATGTTAGCATACAATAGAATAAAGATAACGAGTGATGTAATTTGTACAGTGTTAAGCAAGCACATGAATTGCATAGCAATGGGAATAAACATGGGCTGGCCAATTACAGTAGCCTTTCTCACTAGGTCCATGAGGGAGTTTAATAAGCTTCACGTTTGCGCGAACGGCAAACTGCATATAGTTGAATTTTATTGGCAGAATTTTTGCTTAACTTCTTCGCCTCATCTTCTCGTTCTTATCTCAAAAGAATCATCATACATTACAATCTTAAAATAGCAAGATGGTTTCCGATTTATTACCTTGTAGCGTAAATTGTTTCTTCCCCTGGCGTTTGCCATTTAACGTTTGAACGCGAAACTTAAACTCCCTAATATCCGCCATTCTTAGGTATTGTCTTCCCACGTTATATTAGAGAATCTACAGAGATGCAGTCTAAACAATGTGAAAAACGACTTTTCGAAGTTGTGACTGTAAATTTACAATTATACAGCCAACTGCAGTGGTAAAAATTCGCATTTTGCGGTGGGTACACTTTCAGGTGTGGCAGAGGCAGTACCCCCACAACGGTGGGTAAATCTAGCGTAAGAAAGAGTAATTAGGTTTATTTGTAACTTTGAACCATTCAGTCACTATCATGTCTATGTTGTCTTCGGTTCGTATGTCTTTCCCGCTCTTTTGATCGTTGATACTGATCATCGGATGAACTACTATCATGTCGTCGTTTTCGTTTTATTGGTTCATTTCGTAATTCTTTATGTTTGTCTTTTCTCCTAGATCTGTTCTCGTCTTCACTCTCGCTGTTTCTGGATTTCTCTCGTTTTCTGTTTGTTTTCAGTTCCTTGTATTTATTTCTAGATGAAGTATCCCAAGTATCACTCTCACTACCACCTTCAGACTCGCTTCCTCTTCTCCTAGTACTATTATTTTCTCTTTTCTCTTTCTTGGATGTATCTTTTGATTTTTTCACCTTGTGCTTCTTTTTCTTCTTCCTGAAATAAGTAATTAAATATTATAACTAGAAAATACATGTATGCAGCAACGCCTTTCTTAACAGATGAAGTATAAAAACTCCACATAAAGTATTAAGACCATTATAAACAAACATAAAAACACAACTGATGCGCTAGCTTTATAATGAACGATAATAACATTCACTGCAATTCCATGCATACCAGCTTGCATTACAGTGAATTATCGAGTTAAGAATGGCTTAAAAATTTCGCAGATTTGAATAAAACCGACAACACAAAGCAAGTATACGGCATGGAATTTTACTACTGAAATGTTTACACTTACCCAAACCGGCACGACAACGATTAAATTATCAAAGACATCAACATCAAAACAATTATTATACAAATTTTGTTTCACGGTTGAACAACCACTAATTCATGAAATGGCAAGCTTATTTCCAGTTAAAATCGAGAAAAAAAAACAGTGTTGTACTTTTGTAAACTTTTTAACGAAATTTAAAACAAAAAATTGCTGTAAAACAGCAAAATACGTCCTTTCAAAATGAAAAACAATTTATACTCAGACAAAGCTTGTACTCGCGCATGCGCATAACGTCGAAAACCGTCCATGACATAAACAAAATGGAGGACAACTTTGCACTCCGCTATGTTTTCACATACCCGGGTATAATTAGCCGTGCGGAATTAGTACCCTCACACGCCGCCGGCTCGGGGATGAACAATATATCTTACTGGATTCTTCTGAGCCCAATATGCCAAAATATTAAGTCGAGACTTCAATATTGGGCGAGACCGAAGGTCGAGCCTAATATTGAAGTCGAGACTTAATATTTTGCCACATTGGGCGAAGATGAATCCAATAGGAATTTTATTATATCGAACAAAACAATTCTATAACTAAAATTGTCAATAAGCGATAAAGTAAATACAGCGAGACTAATACAGCGACAACATTACTACATATATCGGCGGCGAATTTGCTTAAATAACTAAAAAAAAAGTTAATAAACCTGTTTTTACAAATATGTGTGCATAAATAAACTCAATTCCATGTATGTTTAAAGGAAATTTGACCTAATTTTAACGAAAAAATAATATTACTAACTTCTAGGCTGTTGCAAACAAATAAATTTCGCGAAGACAAGTTTTCCCGCGCTTTTATAATTTTAAACAAAACTGGTAGAAAAAACTGTATTAATGTCCCAAATTCTTTTCATTATTCTGCCATATCGTTTTTCGTGTGTTTGAAATTGACAAAACATCTGAAAAGGGTTGAAAAACCATGAAAAAAGCCACAATTCGCAACTGTCCAATAGGTTCCTGTCCAATATCGTAAAATATTGGATCGGCACGTGACCCTCTCAACGATCACTGATTGGTTAAGTGCGCGTGAGTGTATAATAATATAATTATAAGGTCATTCCTAACCATAGCCAGAAATTATGGACATTATTTATTGTACTTCCTTACTAATCTGCACATCACTTTAAAATATGACCCTCCAACAGCAAATAGTAGATTGTACAACGCAATGCTGTAAATCGCATATTCTGAGAAGGTAGATCGTTTGCAACTTGCCGAAATCGCTGGTTGAAAAACAAACGGTCAGTCGAATAATTTAGTATAATATTGGCCTGGTTGAAGTTACTACCCATCCTGCTTTTCGTATATTTTCACAATGTTAATTTTTACCATACATTTGTCTATTCAATTCTATATAAAAATACTGCACTAGGAATAAACTAAAAAGTGGAATAGACAGTAAATTAAAACCCAGAACCAAAATTACACTAGAACTTAGACAGACTTTGTTTCACAATTTTCCAATTTTGCGATATGCAGCATCGCGTTACACACTCTACAGTATGCTGTTTAGAGTTGAGACATACTTCAAAGAGATATGTAAATTAGTATAGAAGTAGAATAAATTATGTTCGGGATTTTTGGCCATTGCGCAATTAATTGAGTATTGTAAAAATCGATTAAACTTGAAACTGACACCATAGAATTGAATAATATAGTTCTCAAATGTTTTACCAGATCAGCTACCTGTCACTTTTCCAGAGAAAATGTCTTGCACAAAACGTGAATTTTTAAGGCAGACGTTTACGTACACAAAATAGAGTGTACGTGATTAATAAAACGCGGAAATTAATATCATCAAGACCAAAGCGTTACCTTTTCTTGTGTTCATCTCCGTTTTCGTCGTCACTTCTCTCTTTACTGGGTGTATTTGCCTTCACTTGCTGTAAAATACAAACCACTCAGTGAATTAATTTGTTTGCCTTAATTGTAGGAAATTGTTATTATTATTATTCAGCTCACTCCCCATTGGGCTTTTCAGTGACCGATTATATCAAGTATTACGCTTTTACTTATGTTACTTACTTAGCTTAGACTATTTATCTTTACAACAATTGTGATATTGCTTTCCTAATCGTGTTTATCCTAAACCACCCTGTCAACTTTCCCTGTGGGAGAAAACCGTAGAGCCCGGAGATAACCCACGACTTTCTGTGTTGACTGACTCTTTTCACATGAGTCCGCGGCGAGAATCGGACCCACGACCTCAGTCAGAGGTGAAAGGCCCTTGCTCTGACGACTGCGCCACCAAAGCCCCCCCCCCCCACCCCTCCTAATTTTGATCAGGCTTTGTGAATCAAGACTTCGTGTATTGAAATGAAACCACTTCGTAATGTTCCCTTTCAGGCTCATGAAGACACAAACGAACCACGCTGTTTTCATAGCTGCAGTATTCCAGTTTAGCGTTTTTCATGCGCACGGAAAGGTTTAAATCCATTTAATTTCTTATGAAATAATTAAATGAATAAAAGGACAACATTTAGTTTTGTGTATGATTTAGAGTGCATTTGTTGAGGTATAATTAACACTTAAATAAATTTTAGGAAGATTTAAACTTTTCCGTGTATACAGCATAGACGTATGAAAAACGCTTAATTGCACATGATTAGCCAATGAATATTTCATATTTATTGATTGGTTAATCTTCTTCACGTGATTGCCTAAGCTTTACTATGAAACCGATAAAATTAGACCAGAGCTGATGTGCTAGACATAAAGCTAATTAACATAGAATTACATGCAGTTACAAAAGCCACTATTAAAACTAACCAGGCCCCCTCCTTATTATCCCAATCTAACGTTTAAGTATCTTTACAGTTTTTTAAACAAACTTTGCTCTTCGAAGCTCTCTGCATGGTCCTAATTTAACGAATTCCACAAACTCGCTGCTTTACAGTATACGAATTTCTTAAATAACAAAATTTGATTTTGGACCAGGTAAAGCTAAAGTTAATTACCTTTTTACATGCACATTTCAGAATATGACCTTAATTAAGTTCTACAAAACATTATATATAAAGTTCATATCTTTGATAGTCCCATAGTGTTCCATAAAGCCATGGCGAGTACTTGGTTACTTGCAGTACACAATCCAGTTGGTTGATAATTTTGGCAGCACGCATACATGTTTGAGCAATTCAGCTGTGGGCATCACGCCCCTCAATACAAATGGACTCGAAAAAACCCTCGATTTAAGTATTCACTTTATCTCCAGTTCCGAAAAACGACAGTTTAAAAGATAAATTGCGAATACTCAGAGCGCGCGGCTCGACAAGTGCTCCGTACTGTTTTCTTCTTTTATTTTCTGTTCCCGTCTTGCATTCTCTTTTTTTGCGTATTTTGTGTTTTGTTCTGTTCTGCATTTTCTCCATGCTTTCCATGTTCTCCACTTTCTTCTTGTTCTCCATGCTCTCCATACTTCTCCAATTTCCAGGGGCGGATCTGGTCTCATTTGTTACATGGGGTAGAGGTTTTCCTGAGGGGGGTGTATTACTACTAAACGTTTTGGAATTTGAAGCCCTGAAATGCCATTTCCTGCATTCTGAGCATTACATTTATTTCATTAAATTTGACCTCGCGGTACTTGTATTTCAGGCAAAATTAAGCTATGATAGTGATAGTTTGCAATGTGTAATGCCAATAATTTGCGATGATTCTCATGATTCGTGATGTATAACTCCTATGATTCGTTATGTTTATGAGTATACTAATTGATCCTCTAAAATTAATGCGCTTAACCTATAACACGATCTACACCAACGGGGTCGGACCATACAGAAACGAAAAAACTACAATCCTCCCTTGTTCGGTCCTCTCGTTAAGTCAATAACATCTATATATTAATTTTAGGGTGCATATAAATACAGTACAGTTTTTCATTGCAAAGTGGATTACCTGAATCTTCGCTTCCGGTTCTTTTATGAAACCATCGTTTGAGCGATTGCTGTCCATCATTGCTGCTCTTGAACTATATTGTATTACATAAAGTACAGTGGTCACTGTGTATCTACTAAATGGCTTTTGAGAGAAGTTATTATTCGGCGCTACCTAACACCAGCAGCAGTGATGTCGTATAAACTAACTGATCATGTCAGCCATGTTGGCCACCCACCAATCAAAATGTTAAAAATCGATCATTTGTTATATTGATTTAATTTAAACATGATCATGATACATGAATGAGGTGATATATCCAGAAATTATCAAGATCAAGCAAAATACATACTATGGATAGGTCAAGGTTTTACACCCGTTTTCAAAATTACGCGACCTCCCTGAAAAATACTCCTACTTCAAATGTCAGTTTTATGTCACAAGAACTGCTAAAAATAGCAAACGTAAACAAACTGTCTCAAGACATTTTAAACCGTATTTAATACCAAAACTGAACTAAGATGAGTCAGATAACTTAGATATACAAACTAAAGCACAACACAAACCATCACAACATAAATATGTGCCGTGAATGACTTTTAAAGTTTGAAAAATAACAATTTATCCTGGAATATAGCTGTCAGTATAAAACACGCGCGCTAGACTATAACGGTGATGTTATGATTTTGTCGTGCTTAAATTTTACAACAATTCTCACTAAAATATCTTGAAAATCATTGTAAGTCTGTTTATATGAAGCATACAAAGCATATACATCGACAAGGAACCGCAAAACTCAAAATTTGAACTTCGTGATCGAATGACATAAAACTGACATGTCAACTCTAGCATTTTCGTCTTTGGTCGCGTAATTTTGAAAACGGGTGTAATATTAAGGAAATATTATTTTCGATTTCAAGTCACGTGTGGCTCCCAAGTGCGTTGCGAACTTGCCAATTACGTTTCCAAGTTCGAAAATTTGGCGTGAACTTTGCAACACAGTTAGCAAGTTCATTTTAATGTTTGAACTATGTTGGTGAACAAATTTTCAAACTCGATAATAATAATTACCAATTCAATGAAATACAAACCTTCTTGGAAGACCACTGGACCAAGAACTTTCCATAAGCGAATTGTTAATACAGTAATTTAACACGAACTACGAACATTTGTTTACAATAGAAGTTCAAACATTGAAATAAACTTGCGAGCTTTTTTTGCGAAGTTCACGCCTAATTTCCAGACTTGGAAACGTATAATTTGTAAGTTCGGCCCACGCGCTGAAAAGTGACCTGAAATCGACAATAAAACCAGTTTTGTTATACAATACCTGCCAAATCCCATTCCTTCCACTCTTTCAACGTTCCCAGAATCCCGTTCTGTCTGACCTCGCTTTAAAGTTTCCGCAATCTCCTATTAATAACGTAGATTGGATTAATACTTATTAATTATTTAAAATAATTCGTGATTTCTAATTAGCTAATAGCAAACTGTGAAATCATCATACAGTATATCAACTCAACAGCTGACCAAATATGGAGTTTTGACATAATATTCAACGGAGTGAATCGGTGATATGAAAAGTACAATATTAAACGCTATGATATCATGCCAATGAGGACTGCTAAAGAGTGAGGAATTGTGTCACAATACAGTGAATACACATGGCTTCCTACAACGGGCCGTTGTTTGATCGTTTAAATAAATAATAAAACAATTATTGAATTTGATTTTCACATGAAAAATTAACAAGGCATCAGTTTGTGTTATAGACCTCAGCCCCATAGGCTTCGGATGATAACACAAATGTCGGCTTGATAATTCTTCATATCATGTGAAAACCGAATAATTGTTATATAATAATTCAACAATTGTTAATTACTACCAGATTTGGTTAAACAAAAATTACATTAGGCTATACTGCTTTAAGTTTAAACTGCTGAGCTAATGAAGTCTAAAATCGTCGCGCTTGGAAATCTATCTGCTTAAAATTTAATGCAGCTCGAAATCATTACTATTCCACTCCACTTCAATTTACACATTGCTGCTTTCAAATATGTACTATTGTACTTTGAAATATACCATATTATTCAACATATATATATATATACATATATTGTACAAAACATACATTTAGCCCCACACTCCATGAAGCTATGTACATATTAAATAAATAACCTACCTGTTTGGTCAAAGCAGTTGTCTTCTTCTTTATTGTACCAAATCCACTAAATAAATCAGTGCTATATTATTAATCTTACGGTTCATCTAATGTAAAGTTTAAGCTTATGTAGCTTAAATCTATTAAGATTATACCTATTAAGATTTAAGCTAAACCGCTTCTAAACAACTGCCCTCTGTCATACAGGCGAACTGTTGTTGAGATAATGTGACTTGAATTGGTTTACACCGCGTTTGGCCAGCAGGATGTTTCTGCATGGGTTTCACAAAACTCGTGTTAGTTAGCGATGTGTTTAGACTTTAGAATACATGTATTCATACACGTACAAAATTCAATAAACGGGATCTGTAGGACACTCGGTAGTGATGTCTCCTGCAGCAATGGTCTTACAAACGAGTTTGCTATAGCGTACGCAAAAAAGTGATGCACTTTGTTAAGAAACGCAGTTCAAACACATGAAGTTCAGAGATATGAAACGTATGTATAAAGCTTAACAACTTTTGAGTTTTAAAAAAATTTGTCTGGAATGTGAATTTGAGAATTCAGTTTTATCAGGTTCTGTAAGATCTAAGATCTATATTATCTATCGTAAAAATTGCTTATATAGAGAGAATCTTTTATTCTAAAGATTAATATTTAGATACAGTAGATGCATGTACGTGTCAGTATTGGTATAATTATACATACAGAGCTGCAGCCATTGCTTCTTCTTCTAGTTGTTTAACTTTATTCCTTTCCTAAAAATGCCAAAGGACATATTACTGTATCTGCATGTTAAGACGGGTGAGGCTCTCTATATATAATTGTCAAATTTAACTTAATAAAGAAATATTAAATGGAATATAACATAGCCATGACCATAAAAGTATGGTGTATAATCTATCCTAGGTACAGTATACAACCTGCATCCAAGTTACTGTTACATTATTGTATGTGCTTATACTGTATGTAAATTAGTAAATTATACTATATACCGTTTGTTGTTGTTGCATTTTAGTTTGTTTGTCTTTGGCATACCTGTAAAATATTCCTAAAGCTTTAAAACCATGACACAAATTAGTTTAAGATTTATATAATTATAATGTAATAATTAGTTTAAAAAATCAAGAAATTCCTTTGTGGTCAAAATTGGGTGACGGAAAGTGCGGGTTTTAGGGGCCCAAAGAAAAGCTGGAGAAACAACATCGGGGAGAGAGTGGCCCTCACCGTTATGGACATTGAATCTCATGTCCGAGCCGGGCTCCCCTGTGGTGAAGTCAAGCTCAACCAAGATTGCATGCAAGGTCTTAACCAAATAAGTTTAACTATTTTTACCACTTGCAATCTGGGCAAGTTACATGGACGTGAAAAGTGGTTGCCGCGGGAATACAATTTACTTGGTATCAGGTCTACTTTGGCTCTCACATTTTAACAAAATTTGAAGGAAATTATTAGCAATTAATTTCTGACCAAAACAACTTGCCCGCGATCGGGGAACCAAAAAGCAACTTCTACAGTACTTGCCCGTCATCATTTTTACGGGCAAGCGCGAAGTTACACCACTGGACCAGTATGTAATTTAAAGAATTTAGCTTGATTTTCTACCATGTTAAATCTTTCCCTTTTTGCCATCTTCCTACAGGTGCCATTACTGAATGTCCTAGAACAAAAACACAAATTTGATTAGGCTTAAGATTAATGAATAATATTGACAGAATATTTACAATTTTGCAATTACCCATTCGCCCCAATGCACCGTATACTTTATTATTTTACTCTATCTAACGCTGCACGATTTTATTTGTCAAGGGGAGAGTGCTGGCACTCAATGGGTAAATGTAAATTTACATTTTGATAAAGTCGCCGTCTTGAACCAAACTCGTCTGCTAAGTTTGCCACACTTTTTACAGGAGAAAAAAACGTCAGCATGCAGACATGCAGTTAGTTAACTTAGCGGTCTGGATCTTGAAAATCATACCATGCTGCCTCAGCCTGAATGACACTCAGGATGGTCAGAGGGCCTGAAATTTGGAGTAGCCCAATATCCAGAGGATACTAATTACTGTAAGTGAAACCGTGATTTGAAGTGCTTCTGTGAAACATGAAATCCTTTATTTATTTTGTGTGAAAGAAGATTTAAAGAGCAACTCCACGTGAAACTTGATTTTTTTGCAGGGATGAATCCAGCATGATCTGGTAGTGGGGTGATCTGGTAGTGGGGTTATCTGGTAGTGGGGTACTCTGCCAGCTCCAGTGCCCAGTTGTGTCGGTCATGTGTGTTGCCCGCCCATCAACATATACTGTATTCGAATTGTAATAGTTGTTCACAGTTCGCTTATCATCATGTTATTACTCAAATTACTCAGTATCTCATTTTGTCTGTGATATTTTTTGCTTTATCTTGAAAAATAGCACACCACCTGCACCCCCACCAAATCTATCCCTGATTTTTTGGGAAGCAAAGGAGCTTGTTCTCGTGCCAAAGGCTTAGCTGTGCATTTTCCACTATTTAGACTATAAATATATATCTAAAACTATCGAAATGGCGTCCATAAAGTTCGTAAACTGCTATAATTATACTATAGAACTTATATAGGGTAAATATATAATTATCGAAAATTATTTCGACCATAAAATATTCAAGCATATGCTACCCATATGGTGGGTATAAACGAGTGAAACAGTTAAGTATAACAATGTCTTATTTTCTGTGAGATCTCTCTGAAACGTGATCAATAGCCCCCTTTACCACCTTCTAAAATTTGGTTTTGGACACCAAACTTCACACGACTTGTATCTCGACTAGGATACTACAAAATGCTACAAGTCACCTTAACCAGCCTTTGATTTCCACATAAACTAACTTGAGGTCCACGGTCAATTCCTTGTTTCTCCCAAACTGTATAGTGTATATGGAAGTTTCTCAAAGATTCATGTGTATCCTAATGTATTAATTCATGATACCAACTTGGTCACTGTCTAGTTGTGTGGGTATAGAGATAGCAGGGCGCGAAATAACGGTCGGTCAACGGACAATGTCCAGCCAGAATGCGGAGTTGTCCGGTCAAATTCTTACCTTGCCGGTCATTTTGACCGGTCACTTTCGGTAAAAGAACAAACTAATCTTCATTTGAATTAATAGTCAAAATAAAGTTGTCAAGTATTATAATTAAGAACCATAACATGTTGTCGAATATTTTGCGGGAAAAGAACTTCAATTTACGCCAGCTTTCCCATGCATGCAGTACGTCACAAAGCCCATGGCCATGCTTTTTGCTTAAGAGTTAAGGCCATGCTTTTAGCGCAGTGCAAACTGTTTTATCACTTTTATGTAAACGAGTTTTTATTGCTCATTATGCCAGTAAGGCTTTTTGTAAAATGCTATATACTGGGAAAATAGTCACATTTGATTTTTAGGGGTATACTTTACTAGGCTTTGCTTTAAGCTGAATAATTTGATCGGCCAGAAATTCGGTATGTCCGAGCTAAAATTGAGTTGGCCGGTCACCTTGACCAGCGACCCTCCAGACTTAACAGATGGCAATGAGAGTATTATTGGAAGATCGTCATGGGACAGATCTAGAGGTTGTTGACATCATACCTACATAAGGGTGGGCTCACTTACATTAGATGTCACTTGTCCTCAGCTGCTAGGTATACGCTTGCTCGATCCCGGCCCTCTCTCCCCTGTGGGAATATCCTTAAGCCTTCCCATATGCTTGTTACACATCGGCCAGTGTATGTTGGCAGTGTGCGTACGCTTATCCCAACAGCAGTGCCTCAATTTGCATTGTGCTAGGTTTTATTTCATCCCCACGGCATTAGGCATGTCCTCTTAGCACACAACAACGCGGCCCTTGGGGCATATATATGCTTTTCTGCGTTGCCTGCTACTGTTAAGGGTTTATTTCTTGAATAGTGGTCCAGTGTATATGTTTCTTTTAATCGAGTTATCCAACGCTTCACTTCCTTTTCGGAGTGTTGCTTAAGTTATATGTTTGCAATATGCGATATAATGTGTGTTCGTGCCAGCATGCACGTCTAGTTTGTTCCTTGGCCGTGCCACGTGATAACTATGTGTGTTGTATGCAATTCATCTGGGTTACTCTCATCTACTTTGGGATTTACACTGCCTGTAAGGTCACTCTTCATGCATGTACTGCTTATACAGGGCAGTTTGTTTGTTTTGTTTGTTTGTTTTCTGGCAGTGCATTTCGTCAATAGGATTCCCAGGTAATGTGGCTTCGTCATATTAGTGTTTTCTGTAAATAGGGTGAGCAGTGTTTAGTTATTAGTTTTATCATCTTGAAAAATTGACTGAATGGAGAAATGTTTGGTTGTAAGGGTTGTCACCGTTCATCTCAATCATCTCATCTTACAAGCATCTTGTAGTTTGGCGGGGGCATTCCATTTTCCATAATTTTCCCATCCTATTTCATCATGGGTTTCCAGTACGTATGATATCTCCACTATGTATGTGAGTTGTCCAGGGGCGTAGGAGGCTTCAAAAAGTTGGGGGGGGGGGCGGTTTCGAGGGGCACTTTTAGAATGAAAAGGGCACCTAAAAAGTTTTTCCCGGAAATGTTGGCGATGGGGGAGAGGAATAAATGCAATCATACCTTTATGACTTTTTTACACCTAAAAAAATTTTCCCAGAAATGGTGCGGAAATGTTGTAGAAGTCAAAGGCCATTGAGGCAATAATGCAATCTGAACAACATTTTTCACGAAGGCAAAGGGCACTTTGCCACAGAAAAAGGGCACTTTTGAAACTCGGGGCCCCCCCCTACCGGTTCCTATGCCCCTGGAGTTGTCCTGTTATTCTCAGCACCTTGCCTAGGACCTATTGGGAAAAATTTGAAATGATCTACAGCTGCTCCTGATCAAGATTGCTACAGGGTATATCTTGGGGATTTCTGTTAGCTTGTGCTACTCCAAGGGCCTAGGCAGACCCTCTCCAACGGACTACACCCTCCAATTGTTGGTATACTGTAGCTATCAGAGACCTTAGTATTGGTTAGGCTGTCTATTATTGCCTAGAAGTTAAGTCTCCTGTTGTTATCATAATTTGTAACAATGCTTTCATTGTTACTATACTTATTATTAGCATGACAAAATTACTGGATGCTGATTGGTTGATGATTAATGATTTTCCCAAAGCAATTAATGATTTTCCCAAAACAAACAAAAAGGCGGAAAGGTATTTAAACACAAATGATTAATGAAGTTGCCCTAGACAAACTTACACAGAAGAACTAAATGAAAATACAAACAATGGGCTTTGGTGAGAGAATATGATCTTGACATTGCATGAGAATTATCCAATTTTGTCATGCTAATAATAAACAAGCAACTGGTGATGTTTGGAAATTTCCGGCAGCTTGTCCAATTTTGGCAAAATTTCTAAACATCACTTGTACTATTAATCCCTAATTGTACTCGCGATCACATGATTACCTATACTTCAAACATTGAAACAGCAAATGTTGTTGATTATTTATGTGTTTATATTTCAGATTTCTATGCCTATTTCAGCAAATAGTTAAAGGTAGGCTACAGTTCGTATGTAAACAAAGCCTTTGTTTACATTTTGGTATTCAAAATATTGAACTTTATTCTACAACTATTTATATTTTCATGCTTCTACAGTATAATAAATGATCAAGCTACAACAATCAGGCTTTGCAAGAACATAAAATGAAATAAAAACCTAATTAAAGTGTTTATATCATGGCAGGAGACTCTTATGTGCGCATGCGCAGACCGAACTGTACCCTATCTTTAATTGACTCATTGAGTAAGCTAGAGTAACCAGTAGGATGGACTGACAACCTTGAAAAGTTGTCTGACAATTTTAGTGTTTGCCCGTTCAAATATTGGTCTTCTTTAGTATACTGTGCCCAAAAATATCATCAATTTTTTTTCTTTGTGCCATTTGCACAGATTCCAGCCTGGCTGTCTTGCAACCAAGACATTTACAGTAGCTTTAAACAGTTCAGCACTGAAGCAGCTTGCAAGTATCTGATGCACCACATAGTAATAATCTGTGAATTCTGTTTCTATTTTTATGTGAATTGTGATTCCTCAATAGGCCCTTCCAAGGTTAAGGATGCCATCTAATCAGGCCCGGAGCTACGGGGGTGTGTGTGGGGGGGGTGTGACACCCCCCCAGTAATTGTATTCAGTCGGCAGGACTGCTATTCAGTTGGTAGGACTGCTATTCAGTCGGTAGAACTGCTTTTTGGGTTAAATATTTTTGGCGCAAAGGGCAAGAACGTGGTGGGAATTTTAGGAAAATTTTGAGGAAAAATGTAAAAATTTTGGAAAAATATAAAAAAATGTTGAAAATTTGTTATGTGCAGAAAATTTTTGAATGTTCCGGAAAATTTTTTGTACGTCTGGAAAAATTTTTGGACCCCTAAAATGGTACACTGACAGAAATTTTTTTGGCGACGGGAATCTATAGGGAATTCGGTGCGGGTAAAAACATAGTCAAATGCCAGTATTTGCTTTGTATATTTCCCATATAATTTTACGTGAAGAGAACCAGCTAGACTTTAAATGTTTATTTAATTTTATGATCGGCTCAAAACGTTTAGTTTTGCAATTTATATAGCTTGGCAATGCCGTTTCTTTTTATGCTCGCTATTGTAAGTTCAATTTTCTTTTTATCTATAAAATATCATAAAGACACATAACTTTTGAGACAAATTCTGCAAAAGAACAAGCAATTACAGCCTTTTGATGTCCCTGGTCGAGTTCCACACTTTATATAACGGCATTTTATATAAAAACTATTCACGCCGTGCAGTGTGTTTTTATACTAGGAATGTTCGGTATGAGAAATTTCCGGTATCGGTATACCGAAAAAATTATACCGATATTATCGGTATACCGGTCTTCCTGAAGGAAATTTTGAATAATTCTAAAAGGGAAAACGATCATTTCGAAGCTGTTTCGAACATGTTTCGAACGACAAATACTCAGTGTAAAATCTCACTGAAGTGGAAATTCTAAATCATTGCAGTAGAAAGTTATTTGAATTGCCATTCGGTAGTAAAATAAAGGTTATGGTTTCGCCATATAGTTGGTAAATTTAACACGGTATACCGAAAAATTCCGGCATATCGGAAAAATCGGTATATCGGTATGGTTAAATATCCGGTATCGATATACCGATATTGATTTAATACCGATATTTTCGGTATATCGGTATACCGAACAGTCCTATTTTATACACGTGAAAACAAATCACGTTCATCAATGTTCATCTACACCAAGCACTTAGCACGACTGTTGGCCAATTTTGCACAAGTAATCAGTTAAATGAAAGGGGTCAAATGCCCAACGGTGCGCAAATGTTTTCGCGTCAAATTCCCGCCTATGCAGGATTAACCTCTGGACAAATCCTGGGGGTTCACAAGGGGGGGGGGATGATCGCAGTTGGAATTGACTCGTACATAAGCACAAGTATGCAAAGGATCACTGGCATGATACCCACTCTTAAAGCTTGTAAGGGTCTATTATTTGATTTATTTCATGAACATGAAAGAGTTTTTCGATTTTATATGACTTGTGACTTGTCATGAAGACTATTAAAATTTTTTATAGAATCCAGTACCCGCTAACAATTTTAAGATTCTAACAATTTTAAGAGGGTTTTTAAGATGTTAACCTTCCAATTATTCTGTTTTATGTTTCACAACTTAATTATACGTAATAACGAAATTAAATTAGGTAATTTACCTAAATAATTTTCTCTGTGTTTGTCAGTTTTGATACTTTCCCATTCAAATTGATCCTTCCCACCACGAACTCCGCCTCGGGAAGGATGATGCATTTTTCATCGATTAGATTACACTCAGTTGCTTTATTGCTGAAAATACTTTAAAATACCAACATGCGGCTAAATCGAGGAATGCACATTTTCCGGACGCCATTTTGAATTCATTATAAACTGGGGACATCTGTGATTATATGGGATAATAATGTATTGGTATAATGGTTATCCAATAAAATACCCTTGTATCCCTTATGTACATCCATGTTAACCACTGGTAGTAACTTTTCATTTAAATACTTCACAAATCTCACAATTTGGAATTATTACATTGTTTTTTGATCGAATCTTTCATATAGAAAGGTAAGTTTAATTTTGTTGGACAATGTTTTCAACACATATATCGAACATGGAACGAAACATTAATTACTAATTAGTAATATAAAGTATATTGGTGTATAAAGTTATAGTCCTCATAGTATACAGCCTTTTAGCAGTTTTATGCACCTGGCTATCAATGTTTAAAGCCTCAGAGTTGGGGAGGGGGATTTTATTTTTTTAGCAAATTTTCAATCAAATGCCTCACCGACGGGCAATAAATATTGGTCAAATACCCCACCATTTTGCAATAAATTGCAATAAATACTATATTAATAAAAGTCATTTGGTTCAAATTGCTCTAACTTGGGCCCAAAATGCTAATAAAAATCCCTAGGGTGGAGATGCAATTGATGATCAAATACTCCACATATTCCAGACCTACCCGTCTGGGGCTCAACATTGACAGGTGCATTATTAAATACCTTTAAAATAGTCCTTATAAACATTTCAAATCTCAATTGTGTACAGTATCCAGAAATGGTACAAAATATTAACTCTTAATTCACTCATTATTTATATACATAGAATATATACATTCTTAAACCAATCCCAAAGTAGAATGTGGTCCAGTTTTTATGATGACATATCCTGCAATGCAAAAAAGTGTTAATACCTTATTAAAAGAAGTTAAGAGCCTGTTTTATAATTAATATTTACACTTGGAACAATATTGTTACAAGGTTGCACCTTGGTACTGTAATTTGGTTGTCCTCAAACCTGTGTCAAACCCTAACTAGTTTGTCCCAGTTATAGAGCCTGCATGTTGATATGAGCCTGCCTGCTTGCCGAGACGTCTTGCCAAGTTTTGATATTGCCTTATATAGTATACTATTTAAAACATGAGCAGGACTAGTGTTTTATGAGGTATAAAACTACTTGAATGCACCTCAGGATAATAGGATATTATACCTGACAAAGCACAGACTGGGAGTGCTTTAAATGGATCAAAAACAACCCATCTAGTTCGATATTGTCTAGGCTGAGAAAATTAAAACTAAAATTTTATGTAAATTACATAATTTTTATCACATATAAATTTAACTGACACAGTAATTGTGCTGCAAAATTATTATTACATTCATATGAAGAAGTCAAGTGGATAATGATCACTAAAAATGTGTGTTGCATGACTGCAATATACAAGTTTTGCAAGCACTAATTATAAAGTAGACCATATAGCTTTACTATATAGTATATA